GGAGGGAAAAGGTCAACTGCTTCTAACATTGGAGGGAAATTTGGTCCTGTCACACTGAAAGATGGGGGGTTTAGAAAAACCACACTCTCCTAAATGCACTAGTGGAGACTTTAAACTTTCCATTCATGCCCTTCACACTATGCCCATTGTGTACATTATAACCTGTCTTACTAGTTGATGTGTATATGTGGCTTATTATCTATCATTTCCAGGTTGATGTAAATCATGTTGATGAAATAGATGAGATATTTGATGCTATAAGCTATAGGAAAGGAGCTGCTGTTATCCGAATGTTGCAAAGCTACCTTGGGGCTGAGATCTTCCAGGTTTGCTTTGCTTATTTTCCCAGTTTGCAAGTTTAACAGATCATGTGACCCTGGCCGTATGATTTCTTTTGAGATGCGCTCACCCCAGCTCAGAAGGACATACTCTGTTATTTTCTTAATGTATTTGGACAGTTGGGTGACCTACACGCAATCTTAGTTGTAGTTATATAAAGACTATTGATTGGAACTTAAACTTGCACATTAGTTCCACATTCGTGAGAACCTATCAATTGAAAATTAAAATAGCTTTTGAGTGGAAACAAGAAGTTTATTGAACTGTTCTTCGTTTTGCTAGAAATCACTGGCTGCATATATCAAAAGGTTCGCATATTCAAATGCCAAGACAGAGGACTTGTGGGCTGCCCTCGAAGAGGGGTCTGGTGAGCCATTGAAAACATTAATGCACTCATGGACAAAGCAGCAAGGTTATCCTGTTGTCAGCGTAAAACTCAAGGATGGAAAGCTAGAGCTGGAGCAGGTTGGCCATGGACATCTGCAAAATCCTTTTCAAGTTTACATGTTTTATCATTATTATCAAATTTTGTTCTGGCTTGTGGCTTTCTGAACATCTTTTGGTCTTGTCTCTTTGCAGACACAGTTCCTGTCAAGTGGGTCTGAAGGAGTTGGGCAATGGGTGGTTCCCATCACACTATGCTGCTGTTCATACTCAGTTCAGCAAAAGTTCCTTTTCCGTGGAAAACAGGAGGATTTCAATTTGTCAGGGCTCGTAGAATGCCAAAAGAAAGATGATTTCTGGATTAAACTTAATGTCGATCAGACTGGTTTCTATAGAGTGAGTTATGACGAGGAACTTGCATCCCGACTTAGGCATGCAGTTGAGACCAATATACTGAGTGCAGCAGACAGATACGGTAAAACTCTTGCATGGCTTCTTACAACTGTGTAAGTCTTTCCCTGTTTCAACTATTCTCACATTATTACTGTCTGATCAATACAGGTGTACTTGATGACACCTATGCCCTCTGTATGGCTGGTAAACAGAAGCTGGTCACGTTGCTGCATTTGATTGCTGCGTACAAGAATGAGACTGAGTATACTGTGCTTGCACATGCCATCAACGTACTACTATTCCTATTCTATATAATTAACTTTTGTTGTTCCTAAACTTGATTTTTGTTCTAAAGCGTTTTTGTTCTTGCCCTTTTAGACAAGCCTGAGCATATATGAGATGATGGCCGTTGCTGCACCTGAGGAGTTGGTTAATATGAAGAAGTTCCTAATTGACTTCCTTGAGCCATTCGCACAGTAAGTTATCTGCTTTTATCATTCTGTAGTGGAAGGATAGTTTATCGTGCAGTCTCTTCTAACCTTCCAAAAATCCGTCCTTTGCAGGAGAGTTGGCTGGGATGCCAAGAGTGGGGAGGGTCACCTGAATGCACTGTTAAGAGGTACCCTCTTATCTGCTCTAGCGGAACTAGGCCATCAGTCTACCATAGACGAGGCTGTCCGTCGATTTAATGTCTTTCTGGAAGACAGAGAGACGCCACTCCTCCCACCAGATGTCCGAAAGGTTAGCACTGTGATAAAACATAAATTAAGCATATAGCTATATAACCTTGCAAACTATGTGGAGTCCACTTGTTAACCATCTTACTGTATTGTACAGGCTGCATATGTTGCACTGATGCAGACCGTGAACAAGTCAAACAAAAGTGGGTATGAATCTCTCCTGAAGATTTACAGGGAAACTGATCTGAGCCAGGAAAAAGTCCGTGTGCTTGGTAAGCTAGTATTTCCCTTTTGTTGTTTATAAGTTAAAATGAGATTTGTGGAATCTCACAAAATTTACGATCCTCTTTGAAGGTTCTTTGGCATCGTCCCCTGACCCTGATGTTGTTCGTGAAGCGCTGAATTTCCTGCTATCGTCTGAGGTAACAAGGAAGCGATATAACATTTTTGATGATACAGTTTACTTTCAGCCAGCTAAACTTGCGATATATTGCATCCATAGGTAAGGAATCAGGATTGCATATTTGTGCTCCGCGGAGTGACTGCAGCAGCGCATGAGGTGGCATGGACATGGTTGAAGGTATTCATTGCTATTTTTGCATCTCCCTGGTTATGATTAGCCTTGCTGCTCTCTTTTGTTCTTCTTCTGTGCTAATTAAATGCCTTGTCCGTGGTTCAGGAAAACTGGGACTACATAGCAGAGACCTTCACTGGACACCTGCTCACCTATTTCATCACCGTCACTGTCTCACCGGTAAATGTCATACCTGTTATATGCCACGCTCATGCAAGCAAATGCATGTGCACGAATGAAACTTAGAATCTGCTAACACGGAGGAACCATTGTTGATTTGTCTCAGCTCGCCACGGACGAGAAGGGTGACGAGGCAGAGGAGTTCTTCAAGAGCAGGACCAAGGCGAGCATCGCGAGGACGGTGAAGCAGAGCATCGAGAGGGTGAGGATCAAGGCCAAGTGGGTCAAGAGCACCAAGGGCGAGGCCGACCTCGGCAATGTTCTCAAGCAGCTCGCTCACAAGCATTGAGACGGCTAGTCTAGAACCCTAGGTAGGCGGCCCTCCTCCCTGTCGTGCTGGTTTGACTGAGCACTCCAGATGTGTACTTTAGAATAATTTGGTAATAAAAGGGCGGTTATATACTTGATTTTTATCATGTTGGTGCCGTGGTTTAGCAGATGCGTTTACGTCCCATGCTGCTCCGCAGGCTCCTGGTGCTGTTTGTCTTTCTGGAGAGAGTGAAGTCTATTTTAAACCCTAAATTTGTATGCGTAGTCCGTAATGAACCCTAACCTTTGGAATCCCTGAAATCCATACCCTGAACTTCTAATTCCCGGTCGTTACTCACCTTGGCTCGTTTTTACACTGGGATTGCTAACGTGGGCATGGTCAGTTCTGGATTGACTGCAAAGAAGCAGCCCTTACATGTGGGGCTAGCGCACGGGGTTGCAGTTCAGGTTCGGCGCCGGAGCACTCTAGGTGGGGAGGTGGGCGTGGGCTGCTGTCGGGTCACCGGTCAGCTCGCCTGGCGCAAATTAATCAAGCTCCGAAGGCAGCCATGCACACAACAAATGGGCACGCACGCATCAGATGGGCTCGGAAGTAGGCTTCGTTGGTGACGGGGCGATGTCCTTGTCCTCCCTTGACAGCAGCGTGTACTCCTTGTTGGAGCAGCCTTAATCCTCCTCCTACAGCGTTGGCTCCTCTTCCTGCGCGAGTGACAGCAGCGCATACTCCCTGTGGTGCTGCTATCGTGTACGGCGCCGGCGACCGCGCGCGCCGCGTTGCACAGCGGTGGCTGCGCTCGTCACGCAGAACACCTCACACGACGTCGAAGGGGTTCACGGCGTCTCTTCGCAGGAGCAGCCAGTACCGCCGAAGCAACAACTTCCACGGGAGTCGCACCGGAGCAGAAGCTGCCGCGGACGCGGCAGGTGCCCAACGGAAGTGGTGGACCGTTTGCGGGCGTAGTAGTAGGCGTTGAGCGGCACGAGCACAACATTGGGATGGCGGAGACGGCCGAGCAGGGCCATGTGGTGCTCGAAATCCTTTTTGGTTGGTCGACGCCGCCACCCGCGCCGTGTCGCGGAGCCGCTCCAGGGGCATGACGCTGCCGTCGTGGAGCACTGCCATGTACGCCGTGCTGCAGCCACCTTTGCCGAGAAACTCAGCGGACACGCGCAACAGTTCCTCCGGCCCGCCGCAGAGGCCGGCGTTCCAGCCCAAAGTTCGGCGGGCACTCACGTTCTGTACCAGATTTTGGAGAGACGGCTAGAGATTAGAGAAGATGGCGATGACATGTGGGTCCATTCGTCAGCGAGAGTAGAGGCTATCATAGGTGGACTGACTTTTTCCGCATGCAGTACTCCTTCCGTCTAGGTGAGTAAGTCATCTTAGGTTGTGCACCGTGACCAAAAAGGAGGGGAAAACGAGAGACTTTAATGTTTATTTGCTAATTAATAGCATTGCATGCAATAAACTAACCACTGCATGTCGTGTTTGGTAGTCTCAAGTCATTAAAAGCATGCCCACCTCTTGTCTCTTATTGGTTGATATGTGAAGAAACAAGAAACGAGGTAGAAGTTAATACAGCGCGCCTTAGTATTTTGGGATTATTTGGTTTTCGTAAGATGACTTACACACCTAGACGGAGGGAGTAGCTGATTTAGCTATCCCGGCCTTTCCTACGTAAATCCTGTTTGGATGCGACATCAAGGTCACAAACGACCGGGATCAGAGAAAACAGGGTGTCGATTTCAGGGATTCAAAGGTCAGAGTTCATTACAGACTACACATACGAAGTTAAGGTTTAAATTAGACTTTACTCTTCTGGAGACTATAGAAAAGATCCAAACATGCATTCTTCTTTTAGATTCCCAAGCATGCATTTATGTTGGACGTTAGGTAGGGTATATAGTATATACCCGTGGTACATGATCTTCCCCTGATGGTGTAGACACCTAGGGTTTTGATGGGTTGGTTTGCGATCGGTGGAGGATGGGCAATTCTAGGAATGAGGAAGCAAAGGACCTCCTGGGCTGGCTGAATTTGCATGAATTAGAGGAAGAGAGTTTCATTCGGGAGGAGGAAATACTTGAGCCACCGGATGTAGCCAAGTGGTTAGTGATAGCCAAGGTACACACTACTCGGGGTTTTAGCCCTACAATTACAAACCGCTATTCAGATATGAGGTCCGCCTAAAATCTGGCGAAGGAGTATGGAGGAAGCTCGACGGCAACTTGTTCATGGTTTAGTTTGGGTGCTTGCTGATTGGAATAAGGCAATGAACATGTGATCATGGCTATTCATGCACCAAGCAGTAATCATGGAGGAATATGATGGTTTCGAGAACCCTAGATTAGTTGCCCTGAACAAGTTAGCTCTATGGACAAGGGTCCTGATGTTTTTTTTTTGAAGCTCAAACCGTAGAACAATCGTTCCACGGTAATTTTCTATTAATAAATAAATATGTTGCAAACAGAAAGGAAAAAATAAAGAATAAAGCAAAGAACAGGGCGTTTAGCCTATAGGGGGCTGGTTAATTTTCTGTAGTGATGGTGGCTGGTTGGTTATCACGTCGAACTTCGAACCAAGGGTCCTGATGTTGCCGGTGTCGCCCCATGGGTGAGATCTTGGAGGTACAAATAAAACTACCTTTTGGTTATATTGGGGATTTTGTTAGAGTAAGGGCCAAGATCAATGCGACGAAGAAGCTCGTACGTTCGTCTCGATCATAAAGGACACAAAGAAAGTCTGGCATTAGGTTTAGGACGAGAAGTTGCCGACGTTCTGCGGACGCTATGGATTACTATCAGTGGCATCAAGAGGGTTGAACTTACATACTTTAGAAGCTTCTGTAAAAGGTTTCGTAATTGAAATGAATCAAAATTCATCTTTTAGAAAAAGAGGTTGAAGAGTCCCCGTGTGTTTTGAAGAATTTGCCATAAAAAAGATCGCATTTGCCATGCCCCTGGTTATAACTTTTGTTGGCTAAGCCGGTCTAAAAATTTGATGATCTTAAACCTCGTGCCCAACTTATATTCCCGCTAGGAGTGAGACCCGAATACTCAATGAGCGTCAGTTCTTTAGGCATGACAAATCGAACATTTTTTATGTTTGTTAAAGGTGACAAGTTTAGTTGGCGAGCATGTCAAATCTGTCTTAGTTTATCTTTTTGTGAAATTGCGACTCTCGACAAACATATGTTGTCATGAAAAATGTTTGATTTGTCATGCCGGTACACACACGCAGCTGCATTTCGCACCGTTCGCACGTGTTGCCCATTGATTTGATTTTGGTGTGACATTCTGGTGGCTGAAAGCCTGAAACCGGTGGACCCAAAGAGTCTTGGGCCAGCCCCGCCTCACGGGGGCCGGAGCCATGGCCAGGCGCTCGGCCGCCGCTCGCCTATACCCTCCGGTAGGTCACCCCCCACCCACTCGCGCCCCCTTTCCCTTGGCCTACTAGCATTCAATCCTTTCCCCTCTGGCCTGTTAGCCTTGGGTTTCATCGGCCGCTGCGGTGTGGCCTGGCCATGGCGCCACCATAGGTCTAGGCTGGGGGTGGGGGAAGTGAGCACATGGTTCCACTGGTGCAGTGCAGAGGCCATGGTTCTGTGGTCTTCGCTTTCTATTTGTTCATGGGCAACTGGATTCATACGGTGTTACATTTTCTTCCACATTTAATCAGCTATACATGCTAGCTCCTACTTTGCCGACAATGGGCAATCCACTTTCATCGCTCAACATCACTCTGATAGATGCCCCACTTTATCCACAAAAAAAAAAACTTTCATCGCTCAACATGCTCCACTTCTCTTCCACAATATTCTGAGACCTTATGCATACCTCGTTTACATATCCAACAGTATGCAACAACTTTGTTTAATTGGTTTGATTACGTCATAACCGCTATCTCTTCATCGTGCTGTTGATTGTGATGAGAAACACTTCTTCTTCGGTACAACCCCCTAAACACATCAACGGAGGAGATTTTTTCATACCCCTTCATAATAAAGAATAGGATGGTCTTTTCCTGCACCGAGACTTGTGTATATAGAACCTTTTTTATTTAGAGACGTGTACCTAGAACCTATACACGGCCTGGCGGAGGTCTGGCTCGGTCGAGTAGCGAACGGCCTATAGTGAAACAGTGGAAATCCAAAAAATTCTTAATGAGGCACGAATCGAGCACAGAACCTCCCGCTCACACACCGAGGAGGTAAACCACTCCATCAAAGAAGTCATCATGCCTAATTGGCAGCACGGAAATTTAAAAACTATTCTCCGAGTTTAGGAAGCCTGCCATGCAGTATTAAATATCATGGCGAGATAAGGGCTGCGACGTTAATAGGAACCGGCCGTGCAGGCGTTTGCTTTTACAACAGATTAGCATGCATGTCATGCAGCCTTTATTAGCGTGAGTTTTGTGGCAGCTATGATTACGGGCATTAATTAACATAGGAAAGGAAACGAACCGCACGCGATTACTGGTGAGAATTACACGTACTCCCTCCGTCTAGGTGAGTAAGGCCATGCTTGGATCCAAGAGACTATTTTTAATCTGACTAAAATTAGTCTCTTTTAGAGGCTAAAGTTCCAATCACCCCTGACTAAAGAGAGGCTAGAACTAATCTTGAGACTAAAAAATTTTAGTCAAGGAAACCCTACTAAAATGTGGATTAGTCCTCTCTCTTCTCATTTAACTCCTCTCCTTTAACACATGCGAGTTCGGGATTGGAGTGTTTGAAGGATAATAAATGCTCATTAACTCATTTTAGTCTATTTAGTATTTGTATCCAAGCATGGGTGAGGCTAGCAAGTTTTAGTCCCACTACTTTTAGTCGTGGGACTAAAACGTATCCAAGCACCCTCTAAGTCATCTTAGGTTGTGCACCGTGACCAAGGAGGAGGGGAAAACAAGAGACCTTAATGTTTATATGCTAATTAATAGCATTGCATGCAATGAACTAATCACTGCATGTCGTGTTTGGTAGTCTCAAGTAATTAAAAGCATGCACACCCATCGTC